CGCTTAACCGATTGAACCACCCAGTCACCCCTAGAGATGATAACTTTAAAAATTTATTTTGTGGTTATTGGTCTTTTGCTCATTGAGTAAATTTTGGCAATTTACAAATGTGTTCCTAGAATGCTCTGATTTAATGTTGAAACACTCTAACTTATAAGCATAGAGTTGTACATACTACTCTCTTAAATTTCCAAAATAACCTCCATGTGTTACTATTCCCTTTTTAATCTCATATTTTGTGTCATTTTTCTTGACTAGACTCATTGATGGCTTGTCTGTTTTAATTTGTTCCTACCTTCCCCTGCCCGGAAAGAACAATTTAAGTATGAATTATACTGCTTCTAAGAGGAATTTTGCCTCTCCTCTCCCAACCACTTTTTGAACTGCTGTTTCCAGGAATCATGATTCCAGAGAGCCGCAGAGGAAGGATATGAAGGTTTGAACAGTGGTCTGGCTGTGCTTCAAAGCACAGGCATATAGCATTCTGTCTCTTTCCAGATGCCCACCTCTAGAAATGTGGCTCTCCTACTTACCAGCTGGGGGAAGCGGGGCAAGCCACATGGCTTCTCTTTGCCTCAGCTTCCCCATCTGCAAAATGCGAATAATAATAGCGCTGCCTTCAGAGGGTCATTGTGAGGATCAAAGGTGAATATTTGAATAGCACTTAGTGGGGAGCCTGGCACATGGCTGTGTTCCAGAAATTACCTTTCGTTAGCATCATTCCTGGTGTGTTCTCATGCAGGGTCTTCCCCTCCCATCCCCCCAGAAGGTACTTGTGCTTCCCCACCCCAAGGACCAGATCTGCAGTGGCTTTATGAAGCAATGCACAATGTGGGGTTGATGGAAGGTTGCCCCAAAGAGGAAGAGGAAAGGAGGGAGGGATTGGGGAGGGCATGGTGGAAGCAGGCAGAAGGAGGAGGCTGGGAGAGCACTGCCCTGGACTGGAGAGATGGGACTGTGCCTCTGTTCGTAGCACGGACGGTGTCTGGCTCTGGGCAGCACCCTGAGGCTGTAGTGAGCCTCCAGGGACACTGCTGTGTGGAGTCCTTGTGCCACCCCACAGAGTTCAGCTAGTGGGCCAGCGTGCCTGGAGTGGACTGAAGACACAGGGTCCTGCTCTGTTGTTCGGGGTAAACCAAGTAGGAGCCAGTGGCGCAAAGCAGGTTCAGTTTGATTTTGAAGAATTAAAAAAAAAGAAGACGTGATTTCACATAGTCAGGAAATGTGGAAACCCAAATAGATACCTGCTCCCCTGCCTTCTGTGTTTTGAGTTTCTCTCTGAAAGCTTCTCGGGACCTTCTGAATCTCAGAAAGTTCTGCTCCAATGTCCAAGGTGATGTGTGTCCCCCACAGGCTCCAGTTAGAGTCCTGGGGTGTGGGCGGTGTCACTCATTCTCCCTGGCTGGCTGCTGCCAACCCTGTCCCTGGGCACCCTCTTCATGACTCAGTCTGGGGGACGGCTGGGGGGCTTGTGGGCAGGCATGTGGCCCTTTCCTGCTGTGGTTGTAGGATGCACCCGCATGTAGACATAGGGAGGACCCAGCCCTGTGAGTGGCCACAGGGCTCAGAGGCTGTGGGTGGACAGCCTGTGGGGGGCTTTGGCCTCTTTTTTTTTTTTTTCCTTAATTTTTTATTTCTTTTCAGTGTAACAGTATTCATTGTTTTTGCATCACACCCAGTGCTCCATGCAATCCGTGCCCTCTCTAATACCCACCACCTGGTTCCCCCAACCTCCCACCCCCTGTCCCTTTGGGCTTTGGCCTCTTGTCTTGAGCAGGGAGGGGAAAGAGAGGCCTGGAGGAGCTGGGAAGCAGATCCCTCGACCCCCACCCCCAGGCTGGAGGGCAGGTGTCATCAACCTCACTCAGTCTGAAATCCTCAGGGCCCATAGGAACCTCCGTCGGGAGGCTGGCCTTCGGGGTATCATCAGGGGTGAGGTGGGCCCGTGGGTCGGGGTGAGGACTGCGGGATCAGACGGCAGGACCTCCGATGCAGAGGGATAGGGGCTGGGCCCCGTGTTCCCCATCTCTTTAGGGTCAAACTTCAGGGGCTTTGTTTTCATGAAATCTGTAAATATCTCACAGGCCCCTTGCCCCACCCTGGCCAAGCAGGGAGTGCTCTCTTTGGGTCAGTCCTACAGATTACAAAGCTCCTTGCCTAAAAGTCAGGAAGGATGTGGGCCAGCTAGGCCTGCTCACACTATAGTTACCAGATGCTTCCATGACCCAGACCTAAGTAGCTTCTCCAAAGAAGTGGGGTTTTTGTCAAGTGGGGGGAGCTAGGAGGGGTAATGTTTTCTCTCCGACCCTACCCAGTAGGCACTGCTGCTCTGGAGAGGGGGTCGGCGTGGAACTAGGTGGCGGAGAGGGGAGAGGACTGAGGCTGTGGCCAGGAGAGTGGAGGGATCTGGGTCTGAGCGGTCCTTTCATCAGAAGCCCCTGCACCCCCGGCCCGCTAGTCCAAGGCCCGCTGGAAACCTTTATGAAGGTTCTAGCCGCAGCCTGTTTTGGCATCTGATGCCCTCACTTCAAGCCTCTGTCTGTGGCCTCCCACAAGCCTCATGATGCCCCAGGCCCTCCTCAGGCGGCTGTGTTGCCCCTGGAGCCCTGCTTGGAGTCCAGCAGTGGTCCCCTGACCTGTCCCAGGCGTGTCACCGCCTCTCCTCTCCTCTGCTCAATTCTCTGGAAGACAAGGAGCAGTATGGCAGCCCAAAGTGCCCGGCTCCTCAGGGCACAGGTGGGGAGACTGAGGCCCAGTAGCCAGGAGCGTTAGGTCCACAGCCAGGTCCCCTGTCGCTTGCAGGGTGTCTGCTCTCTCTGTCCTTCCTGCTTCCAGCCATGCCTTCCCCAAACTGTTAGTACTTCACATATCCTGTGGCCCAGACCTGTGAGGAGGCTGACAGGAGGGCCGCTGTGCCCTGAGATGTTTCTTACAGCGTGTTCTGAGAGAGAGATGGTGAGCCTCTCTGCCGTGGGCCTGAGCAAGCTCGGGGTGGGCGGCGGGTGGTACTGGGCAGGTGTCCAGGAGGCCCTTTGTGACCTAGATGCCACATGGGTGCCCAGATATGCTGGTGGAACCCCTCTGGATCTGTGGGCCCTGGAAGGAGGTGCTGAGTGATGGCTTGCCCACCAGGCCTCTCTTCTTCCCCCGGAAGGTCCTGTGTGGGGCTGAGTGCTCAGCTCAGGGGGGCACACAGGACCAAGAGGGACTCTCTGTTTGGCACTGAGGACCTCGCTGACCAGTCCAACACTATACTGTTTTCTTGGGATGGGAAGGATTCCAGCGAATCACCTTTCTCGGTTCAGGCAGGGAAGATGGTCCCACTCTTCCCCCATTCTCCCTGCTGTGGTGTTGCTCTCTCTACACCCCCCCACCCCACCCCAACACTGTGCCTCCTAGGAGGCTTCCTAGAGCTGAGGGCACAGATATGCCCCCTTGAACACACCAGCACACACCTGGCATTCAGCCCAGGCCCAGGACTGAGAGCATGGGTTCCAGCATGGGGTCTGATTGAAACTCACCTGGGGCCTCAGACAGGCTCCCATTCTGGGTTTCAGTTGTCCAACCTGGGAACTGGGGACTTTTGACTCGACCTCCTAGGCTCCTTCTTGTCTGAGACCTCCCTTGCTAACTCTGGGGGCACCCAGAAAGGAGAGGACTGGGGCTAGAATCGAGGCAGCATCTCCGGGGTGCATATGGGCAAGGCCACAGCACAACGGGGGGACCTGGATGACAGATTCCCACCCACACTCCTCAATCCTCTAGGCCGTCCTTCTCCAGCGCCTTACAGAGAGAGGCAGTGTCTCAGTGCCTGCCCTTGCCAGGAAAAGAAGCCCAGCACGACTCAGTGAAGAGAGGTGCGAGGCTACAGACTGGCTTCACTGCAGCCTGTGGCCTGGGCTGGGGGGCGGCCCCAGGACCCTTCTGGAAGAACTGCTTGGCTCCAAACAGCCCTGCCTTTCCACCCCTTTGCTGCCAGGGGGCCCCAAGGCATGAAGCATGTGGGAGCCGAAGGGAGGTGGAGGGCTGGGCCCACCCCCATGTGGCTCCCCCTGTCCCTGTCCCTGTCACAGTGGCTCACCAGCTCTCTGTGTCAGCATGTGAGCCAGGCACAAGGGCATTCCCATCTTATGGATCGGGAAACCGAGACCCAAAGCATGCCTGACCCAAAGTCACACAGCCAGTGAATGAGGAGAACTGGCCTTGGCCCCTAGGGCCCTGGTTCTCGCCAAGTACCTTGCCCGTTCTCACTAGTGTTGGTCCCCTAAGAAGGAAGGAGGCTGGCAGGGGCGGATGGGTGCAGAGATACCCCAAGGGGAGGGTGAGAGGGGCCCTCCTTCTGCTTCTTCCTGCACCGACCTGCTGTCCAGGATCTCGGGGATACCCGGCCCAGGGCAGGAGAGGGAGGGCTGCCCAGCCATGGGGCCTCCTTCCATCTCCCACTTCCACCCCGTTCAGCCAAGTACATTCTAGTCCCTTCCCTTCCTGGGAGATGCCACCTGCCTTCGGAAGTCTCTCCCATTTCCCATGGTCTCACTAGGGGTGGTGAACACATTCTTCCCGTCCCTGGGAGCTCCCTCACAGCAAGACGAAGGTGCAGCCCCAGCACAGGCCGGGCATTCAGTAGGAACTCAATATGTAACTAAGGCCTTCGGTGGCTGGTAGAGTGAGGGACGGTGTGAGAAAGGGAGGGGGTGGGAGTGTGAAGCTGTAGGAGGAGGGAAGGAGGGGGTAGGGGACCCTGAGTAGGGGTAAGTGGGCTAGAGCTACCGCTCCCACCCAGGGTCCTTCCCGCAGGGCTGTGGGCCCCTGGCCACACAGCAGCCTTGGCCTTGGGATAAACCCACCGGGTTTCCACACTGGTCAAGCTGTGGTCCTGACAGGTGGTGGCTGTCCTTCCCACATTCTGCTAGGGGAAGGAGGAAGCCGGAAGACGTCCCCTGAGCCCAACCTCGCTCTGGCCAGCCCAGCCTGGCAGGCCACAGTGCTGAACCACAGAGTAGAAAACCCTTGTTTTATTCAGCCCAGGTCTGGGCAATCTTGCTCCGTGATATGGCCAAAATATAAAAAATAAAACCAACAACTGACAAAATACCGTTGTAGAGAAGAGTTAAGTACAAAATTGGGCCTGGCATCCGGAATCCCTGTGGTTTCGGTCTGCGTTTGCTCCCTGAGGCCGGCAGGGAGGGATGCCTGTGGCTTCCAGCTGCCCCTGCCTGTGGGGTGGGGGTGGGGGTGGGGGGGCTGGGCCCCTCGGGCCGGGTCGGTCCTGGCAGGAGGCTTCCTGGGGGAGCCTGGCCGGCTTTGGGGAGTAGGGAGATTGACCGTCTGTCCATCCTCTGTGAGATCAGGATCTAAGGAAAGAAAACGAGCAGTCAGTGGTAGGCTAAGGGACAGGGCTCCTCCCTTGAGTGTCAGCAAGGCCTGCCACTGCGTCCCCCGCGGATGGCGCCCCTTCCACGGCCTGGATCCCAGGTGGGAGGGAGGGCGGTGTGGGTGGAACCCTCAGCCAGCCCCAACCTCCAGAAGAGGGGTGTCCCGGCCTCCCCCACCCATGCAGGGGCCATCTCGGCACCACCCCCTCCCCATGCCCCGAGTTCCACAGTGTTCTCTAGGCCATTAGGAGAGCTGCTACTGTCTGGGAACGCTTTCTTGTTTTTTTTCTAACAAAGTACTTTTTTAAAAAAGGCTCCTTCCTCCTCTTCAGAAACACGATCGCAAGCCACAGGCGTCAGTCCCGTGGCCTTTCTGGGAACACTGCGTCCAGCTTCCTGTGCCCTGGCCCGGCCTCCCGCCTGCGGTCAGGGTACCACAGACGCTCTAATGAGACTTGAGCCTTTCCAAGCACTTATGTAAAGGGCTTGGAAAGGAGGGCCTCCGCCTTCCCTGGCCCATAGGCCCCCGGGAGGAGCCAGAGGGGCCACGGGGCTGCTTCTCTGTCTGCCTTGTTGAGGAGCCTAGCTCATGGCATGGCTGGGGATAGCGATACTGTTTTATTCCACCCTTCCCGGCGGCAGGCAGGACAAGAGGGACGTAGGCTCCCTGCCTCCCTGCACACCCCTTGGCCCTCTTTTCCTCTTGTGTGCCCCTTCCTTTCTTCCTCCTTCTCCTTCCATGGAATTGCTTCCCAGAAACCCTCTACCGTTTAGGTGACCCCTGAATTGGGAACGGCTGAATGAGACAGGCCCTGGGGAGGGAGGGGGTCAGAAACCCAGGCCTACAAAAGAGCCACCATGCTGGGGATGGGGCAGGAATCAATTGTTTTAAATATACTCTGTGACCTGGACAGTCTGATCAAATTCAGTTTATGAGGAATCCAATTTCTATACTGAACTAAAGGCTGCTATTGTCATTTTTAATATACATGGGCTGGTGGTGGTGGTGGTGGTGGTGTGTGTGTGAACAGTTAGCTTAGTGGTTGCAGCTAAAGGGCAAAAGGGCTGTCTCTAAACAGGTCCTGACTCTGATACACAAAGTGAGACTTAATCCTGGTCATACAGTGAACCCTAATCCTGGTCTTACACTGAGCCCTAATCCTGGACACACACTGAGCCCTGACCCTGGTCACACATTGAACCCTGACTCTGGACACACAGAGTCTTAATCCTGGTCACCCAGAGTCTTAATCCTGGTCACACACTAAGCCCTGACCCTGGACACACACTGAGCCCTGAGCTTGGTCACAGGCTAAACTTCATACTTGTCAATCATTAATAAGCATATGCTTTTGTCTCTCTGGGCCTTGAAATCTCTGCCATTTTTCCCCCAGCTGATGGACTGAAGTTCTAGAACTTCGCCTGTTTTGTTTTAGTTTTGTTTTAATGGCAAAGTGTTGATTTGAGCTGATCAAACATTTTAAATTCTCATGGAGTGGAGCGGGGGGTTTCTTGGTGAGTCTGTAAGCAGAAGGTCCCTCTGCAAAGTACTCCACCTGGGGAATCAGAAGAGGCTAAAGATGGGTAGCCTGGAGCAGTGGCAACCAAGGTCCTGCCCCGGAGCCATGTGCACAAGGCCTGGGCCAGAGTCCTGCAGTTTCCAGTACACCCGGGCCCAGCCACTGGGGAAAGCTCGTCCCAACCAGAATCAGTTCTAATCTGGGGCTGTTTCATTGAATGCACTTGACAGAGACACAGCTGCCATTCTCTGGGCACCCTCGGAAGTGTTCTCCAACACTACACAGCAGGCCTTTCAATATTTTAATCTCCCAAGCCTGAATGGGAAGGGTCTCTTTTGTAGTTGAGAAAAGGAGTTCAGAGAGATGAGGCGACCTGCCCAATGTCACAAAATGAAGACAGCTCAGAAGCAGGACTACAGACTTTCCCCCAGTTACACTGCCCCCTGCCGGTCCCCCACTCCTCCCCGGCTGAGAAAGCTTAGGGAGCCACACCATCTGGGCCCAGAGCCCCACCAGGAGCACTCGGCTGTGGTTGGCACCAACAAGGCCTGAGTGGTTCAAGTGGCCCCACCTGTTCCCCCGTGAGGACAGGGACCGCGTGGAGAGGATGACGGGTGAGCACTTACTGGACGATTTTGCAGTTTGTTGTAGAAACATAGCGACCTGTGTAGTGAATGTTGCATCTCACCACATTGTTGGTGAAGTCTGACTCCAGAACAATGTACTTGGGGTTCACATGGACCTGAGGAAGAAAGGACACCAAGGGAAAAGGGATCCGGTCAGAGGGCCGCCCTTCACCTGTTCACCAGGGAAGGTGGTAGAGATGCAGACAGACAGACAGATGGGGAGGGGCCAGAGGGAAGGAGATGGGAGGACCAAGAACGACGACTTGAGACTGAGTGCTATGGAGACAGAGATCCGCTGGTGCAGAGAAGTGGAGAGATGCAGAGAGAGGAAAGAAGGGACAGTGCGTGGTTGAAGAAAACAGCACCAGGTCACTCCTATTGGAAGATGGGAGGCTGCCCCAGACCCAGAGCCCAGGCCAGGTGGGCCCTGCGTGGGGCACTTAGGGTCAGAGAGTTTGAATCTCTGCCCCAGGGAACACAGCAGTGAATGGGGGGGGCTGAGCAGGGATCCTGAGCCTGGTCTCCCGAGTCCGAGTCCGACACCCTTTGACCACACATGTCCGTCAAGATGACACAGGAAAAGGCTGTCCCCTGTCAGGTGCCATTTCCCAGCCTGGAGCTGGGATGTCTGACACGGGGTTCATGGCCCAGGTGTAACCTATGCTTTTTGTCTGGAGAAGAGCTGTTGGGACACAAGGAAGCCTTCAGAATGTTGGATTAAAGGGGGGGGGCTGCACCAGGGGCAGCTACACCCAGACTTAGAGTTGCAGAATATCTAAGAACATGTTACTTTTAAACCCTTTACTCTCCCCCCAACCCCAGGGCAGGAAGTGTGGGCTACGGATGTGGTTTGAATCCCGAGTGCCTGGAACTCAGAGGACCTGTGTACACATGTGGTGAGTGGCTGAACACGGGAAGGAGAATAGCCCCGCCAACCCTGGCCCTGGTCTGAGGCTGAGCAGAGGGGCTGCTGAGCCCACTGGGAGCCGCCGGGTTCAGGGCATGACCAGAGGCTTCCGGGTTGCTGTGTTCCCAATGTAGCTTTCCCAGCAGGCCGTGTTCACGCGGGTCAGCGTGCCTCCCAAACCCGTCTTCACTGCTCACTGCTCTGTGTAGTGCTTTAGTGTGTGGAGCGGCGGGTCCGGGGGCCCACAGGAAGGTTCCCCGCCCTTGCTTCGCACCTGAACGAAGGAGGAGGCCATGACGCCCTGGTCCTGGAGCAGCCTGCATGGACGTACCACACTAGGCTATGTGTCCTTGACGTGCTTTTCTCCTTGTCCCCACCCTGCCCCACGGGAAGTGGCATTGGAGCAAGCAGACATTGGAGAAGGGGTTCAGAAGGGACTCTTGGTCCCAGGAGCCTTTGGCTTTGTAGATATCCCTGTGGGGAGCAGGAAGTCTCTTTCGAGCATGGCGATGTCCTCTCGCAGATGGCACAGAGCCTCCCCTGTCTGCAGACGGGGGTGCACCGTGTAGCTTTCCAAGTCCTCTGTCCCCTAGGGAAGACAGTGTCACTACCCCCTCTAGCATCGCCACACCTAGGCCGAAGGTTCATTTTCTTATGGAAAGGGAGGCTCTGCCTGCTTGAGGCCAATACCCTCCAACGGGAAGAGGAGACCTCCACGTGATGTCCAGGCTGCCGCCTCTGCTCCACAGCTGGGGAGGAGGGAATGCCGTAGAGGCCAGAGCACATCCCCGGGGCAGGGACATGGAGCAGGAGGAGCAGGCAGGAGGGAGCGCCCTGGACCAGGAGGCCCACCTTGAGGATGTAGTTCCCAGGCTGCACATCCGTTATGTCAATCCACTGGCAGTCGATGTCCGCATTGTAAGTGTCATAGCAGCCGGGGCTCAGACCCTGGGAAGAAGGACAGGAGTCAAGGCTGGGGTGCTGGGCCCTGCTCAGGGCCCCTCCTTCCTCCCTTCTAGAGCCCACCGGGTGGATGGACCAGACAGAAGATAGGGAGGCATAACAGCCAGCTGGGAGGGACAGAAGGAGGGGGACAGATGAAGAGACAGACGGGCAGGATAGACAGATGTTCTGTGGATACCTGGACAGACTAACAGAAAGGTGCATTTGGGTGGACAAACAGGCAAGGGAACACCATGCCATCTAGACTTCGTTGGAATGTTCCTTTCTTTCCACAGGCGGACTCGCCTGGGAGCGATGCAGGAAGGGACCCCGTGGTGACCCGATGACTGGTGAGAAGATCCTTGCTGCCATGGAGTGGAGTGGCCAGGAGCCTTGGCACGGGCCCAGCTGGGCATTGCTCTCTGCTCCCCCACCCCCCTCGCCCCTGCTCCCCTGGGCAGGGCTTTGTCCCCGGACCCCTGGGTCCCAGCCTTGGCCCTCTCGCCCAGCCCGGACCTGTGTGTGAGACGTGCACGCGTAGCGCTTGAGGTTGCCGAAGTCACAGGTGCTGTCCTCCAGGCAGAAGCTGGCCTTGTGGCCCTCCGCCACCTTCTTGCCTGTGGCTGCATCTAGCAGGTCATAGTGGCTGAACTCATCCATGCTGTGGTAGTGTCTGGGGATAGAGCACGGGAGGAGAGACAAGGGGGCCTAGTCACCCCTGCGCTTTCTGAAACGGGCCTGGAGAGCCTGCTGTGACCCAGACTCCTGATCATCTGGGCTCCTGGGGCTCCTTGGTCCCCTGTGTCTCCCAGGGCAATGTCTCTGGGGCTGCTCCCAGCCAGATCACCCAGGGAGAGCACCTCCTCTGGAGCCCTCACTTCCTTGCTGGGCTTCCCCCAGGCTAGCCTCCCTTGGACCATTCCCTGTATTCTAGACATTACCCCTTAACACCCATCCTCCTCTGGGGAGCTTTAGCTAAGGAACTCTTGCCCGGGGGCGGGGGGGTGGTGGTGTTGGTGGGGGAGTGGTGGTGGTGTGGATCCATGGCAGGCCCTCGCACCATCATAGGCTCCGCCCAGAGCACGAAGTGGGGTGAGGAGCTTAGGCACCAAGGCCCCGCCCCACAGGAGGGGTCGACTTACTGATGGCAGCTGTGCCATTCCCACGTGTGCCTCGGCCGGTTGGGGAGGAAGTCCGCTGCGCCTTGGTTCTTCACCCGCTGGGGGAAGCGTAGCAGCACCCGCACATCGTAGTCGGTGGCCTCCGGGGTGTAGGCTGTGCTGCAGGGACGGGTGGGGAGACCAGAGTGGGGCTGGATCTGGGGACACCAACGCCCAGAATGGGCCCACCCATCCCTGAAGTTCCTTTCCACGGACTCCCTGTCCTGTGGCGGAGGCTCAGGCCTCTCCCCATCTCTCCTGAGCGCAGGGGAGAGGCTGTTTGCTTCTTTCTGGCTTCCAGCCTATGGCCGGCAGCTCCCAGGGAAGTCTTTCTCAAGTGGCATGGGCCTAACCAAGACAATCAATCGCACCTGCAGGTGACACTCTGCTGGGGACAGCCTGGGGGGGGGGTGTGGGGCAGGGAGAGAGGCTTATAGAAATCTTTGGAGGGCTTTTTGAAAGTGGCCCTATCCAGGAGATTCCGATAAGGGGACAGAGCCCTGACTGTTGACCCAAGTATGTCATCTCTCAGGTGCGGGCTCTTCAGTGTCAAAGCTGTTTCACTTTCCCAATCCTGTCTGCCCTGCTGCTCCCCCACACATCCTGGGGTTTCAGCTTCAAACACTGTTTCTCGAGCAGACTTCTCTCTCGCTAAGCAATACTGTTGCCCGTGTTTGACCCAGAACTCACCCAGCCTCTTAGGCCTAACTCAGGTTCCCTCCTTCAGGAAGTCTGCCTTGATTGCCTCACTCACAGCCATCTTGACTGCCTGTGAGCTCCAGCAGCACCTCCTGTGGCCCAGCCTGATACCACAGGCCCCCTGGGCTCTGTTAGTGTGACTAGGCCACCTTTCCCTGACTGCGAAGCTGCCAGGACTGAGAGGGACTTTGTAAGAAAAGGAAGGGAGAGAGAGAGGAAAGAGGGGCAGCAGCAAGGGGAGTGAGACAGACAGCCCAAGACAGACACAGACACACATGTGTGCAGGGGCTGACCAAGGCTCCTCCCCTCCCCGGAGGCCTGCTGACAGCTGTCCTGGCTGGCCTCAGGGGCACTTCCTGGCACTCCTGAAGGTCTGGGTCCTGAAGCCAGAGGCAGGAGGCAGCCAGTTGCAGGGATTAGCTCGCTCTCCGAGAGGACGTCTCCTGTCTGCCAGGACATAAGGCCCTTGGCCTTGTCTGGGGGAGGCTTGGAATCCGTCTGTGTCTGGGTTGGAACAAAACATCCTCCTTCCCTCTGTTCAGTTCAATCCTGCCCTTCTGTTCAGCTCAGCACGCCGTGGGAACCCATCAGGGCCTAGGTTCGAGGCCCAGCTTGGCCACAGACTCGCGGTGAGACTTGGAGTGAGTCCCTTTCCTTGTCTCTGTTCGGCCGCAGCCTGTGCGCTGGCTGCGCTCTGCGGCCCATACTGTCGATGATCGCAGAGAGCCCTGCCAGCTCAGCCTCAGTTCTGCTGGGTTGCTAGGTCTGTGCCCCGCGCCCCGCTCCCTAGCCTATCTGGGAGCTCGAGCCTGGGACCGCAGGATGCTCCGTGAACATGGAACCGTAATTTGTCTTTGACTCAAAACTCCTCAAAACTCAGCCACGTGGGCTGCCACGGAGGCTGTGAGGTGCTCCCTGACGGAGGGATTGCAGCGGGAGTGGGATCACGATGCCCTCTTCCTGGGGACAACTGACGAGACCAGACCTGAGTGCGCAGGCCAACAGAGTGGTATAGTGGACCCCCTTATCCGTGGTCTCGTTTTCCCTGGTTTTGGTTACCCGTGATCAAGGGCAAGACGTTCTGGGCCAAGGAAGCAGTGAGTGAAGTCACATTCTGGTACAAGCACCTTATCTCATGACGGACAGATGACGCCTTGCGGGTGAGCTACCCGGAGGGGCGGCAGTTCTGTAAGCGGGAAAATGCTGAGAATCTGACAGCCTTCCCGCACACTGAAGAGTAAAAGTCAATAAAGCATTCAAATGCAAAAACAAAAAAAAAGGGCAGCAAGTAACAAAGAAAAATAGGTACTCTCCAGCATAGAGGGACGTCAACAGACGAGGCAGGACGACGTCATCTTTAGCGAATTCTTTCAGCACAGGGAGATGGCCCCGCAGCGCAGGTATTTGAACAGAATGTTCGCGGTTCATACATTGGGAAGCAAGCTTGGCAGGCTATAGGGTCACCCAGGAATTAGGGAGAGCTGGCGGGGCTCCCCTTCCATAGTCTTGCAAACTGGTCTCCTTGCCCTCTTTCCCCACTGAGGCCTCTGTCACGTGTGCCCTCTGCCCGGGCTGGAGAGCCACACCTGTCCTCTGTGGGGATGGCTCCTCACTCCCACCCTCTATCCTGAAGTCTCGTTTCCCCCACTGGGCTTCCCTGCATCCTTATGGGACCACCTTCTCATGGGGGAGTGGGAAGGTTCTAGTCCTCTCTTTGCTCTTCAGCTGCCTGACTGGAAAAACACATACCTTCAGGGCTGGTGTGAACATTCAAGGCCATGGTAAAGTTGCCTGTCTCATGACCTCTGTGGAAATGCTCGCTTGTCCCCTTCCCCTCTTGGCTCCCTGGGGGTAGGTGAGACTCCCAGATGAAGAGGTCAGGGTCCCGAGAGGCTGAGGGGCTCGGCCAGGGTCATTTAGCTTGTGGGCAGCCTGACTGGCACGAGCACGGGCTCGGGTGACTCCCCAGAGACCGTCCCCATGTTCCACACTTCAGCCTCGGCCCCTTACCTGGCCAGACACTTCTCCTCCGCAGCACAGCGCAGGGAGTAGAGATGGGCTCTCTGCACATAAGTGGAGGCTTGTACGTAGTTGGGGTCCGGGACCAAGTCGGGGAGACCTGGAGGTGGAGTGGGAGAGACGGAGGAGGGGGAAAGAGTTGGCGTCGAGGGGTGTCAGGCTGGCTGCAGCTAACGCCCAGAGACCCCTTCAGCCGCAACTGCCCTTTGCCATGCTCCTTCCTCTGTATAGGCTGTCCCCTCCTCCAAGAAGCTACCTAACCGGAGCTAGGGGCATTGACTGGAACAGTTCCCCCTGGGCTCAGGTGTGGGCCGGGGAGGTCAAGGAACTGGGGCTCACTTCTGGAGCCCCATGCTGTGGGAACTTCTGAGATCCCTGGAAGACCTGGGATAGGAGCGAAGCCTGGGAGGCAGGCGGGAGTCTGGTGAGCCAGAGAATATACTTGGCGGGAGAGCCGCAGGAACAGGGGCCTAGAGGCAGGGCTGAGTGAACCAAGCAATGTCCTGACAGAGGCACTCCCTCCATGTCCTCGTTCCCCAGGCCTCTGGACACCAGCCTCCAGATGCCTTCTGCATTCTTCCCAAACCACCAGGAGAGCCCTGGGCTCTGGCCCCAAGTGGCTCCCAGAGAGCTCACGGGCAGAGCCAGGTGAATGGTGGTTGGCACAAGTGGGGTGGGGAGGAAGGGGAGGGCGAATGGGAAAACACTTCCCCAGAGTAAGCTGCTGACGGGGCACGATTCTCGGCCTGGGCACCTAGCCTGACCTCAGGATTCCTTTCTTCTTGCCATCGGCCCCCAGACCTGACCGCACCCTCCTCTGTCTGCAACCCGAGGGGCCTGGCTGCCTCCTTTGCAGGGCCCAGGGGAAGTCTGGGGTCTGCTCGGCCCCTGTGATCACTTGCTCCCCGGGACAGGTGAGAGCCAGGGGCCTGTCCCTCCGCACCTCCCCCACCTCCGTGCCTGAGGTGATCCCAGGGAGCGGGTGGATTATTTGAATTAGCAGAAACCAAACTCAGGTGTCCAGACCCGGTCTGCATCGGAATAGAGAAGGAACGATCTGATGTGGCTGCTGGGAGCACAGGAGCTGGTGGGGCCCCGGGGTGGGCTGGAAGGTGGGCAGGGGGACCCCGAGCCCCTGGTTCTCGCCCAGCTTGGCCATGGACTTCAGGGTGAGTGAGCCTGGGGCTTCTCCGTCCCCTCGCCCTCAGGCTCCCAGGATTCTGGTAGTTAAGGGAGGACATGAGGCTACAGGTCGCTCTTCAGTTTCTTTCAAGCCCTCTGCTCTCAGAGGGGCAAGTAAGGTGCAGGGACTCGAGTCCTGCCAAAGCATTCCGGCCTCTCTTGCTGCCAAAACCCTCTTGTCGGCTTTCGGGTCCCACGCCCATCCCCTGGGCTCTGAGCCCCCAGCCCACTCACCCCGGGCCTGGGCCCCATGCGGGAGGCCGGCCCCGCAGCCAGCGTGATCTCACCTACTCGGAATGAAGAGGAAGCTTGGAGCACAGGGTGGGTGTGGATGAGGTGGCTCCTGGCTAAGGGGGGCCGTCTCGGCCAGCCGAGGTCCCATTACTCAAGCTCCAGGAATGCCTGCAGTCATTTCCCGGGGGACCCTTGGGCCCTCAGAGCAAGGGCTCACCTCTCTGCCAAGCCGATTCTCACCCTCTGGTACCCGGAAGCCTCTGGTGCGGGGAGGTGAGGAAGACAGGAGCGGTCCCCTTCCCCATCATCAAAGTGCCTTTCCCTCAGCAACGTGTGGGGGTGGGTTAGCTGGGCCGGAAGCCTCAAGAGACCCAGTATTTGGCACCAGATGGCCTGCCTCCCCCACCCCAGGCCCGGTTTCAATAAACATTGTGCAGATGGCTCCTCAAAGCTTTTCTGGCGCGACCCTTCCCCTCTAGGCCATTCCATGAGCTGGCTGGGCAGTCCAGTGAGGTTCCAAGAGCCAGCTGAGTAAGAGGCCAGAGGTACTGAGGCCCAGCAAGGGCTGGTGCCCCTTCTGGCTTATGGCTGAGCCCCGACCCTGGTCCTATACTGAGCCTGAACACATCGCGGTTGGATCCTATCAGTAACTCTGAGCCTCGAACTCATTGTTTGTCCCCAGAGTATGTATTAAAAACTCTGTACTTGAAACACTTCTTAAGGAATTGCTTTGACATCATGAATCCTTTTTACTGTAACTGGTTTGGTTTGGTTTTGTAAGCTCCAAAGCCATGGGGGAGGGGCCTCTGTATTGTCTACGTGTGGGAATTTGGAAGGAAGACCATGGACAGACACCTCAGAGCTGGTCCTCACAACCTGAGCTCTGGCCCTGGCCCTAGATACCATCTTCTTCTTACTGTTGAAGAATCTCAGATTCACAGGTGCCTCCTGCTCCAGGAAGTCCTCCCTGACTGGCTGTGATATTCCAGACCACACATAATGTCTGTCTCACCACTAGATCTGTCTTGATCTATAGTTGGATTTCATTGTATTTACCTGGGTTTACTTCCCTCCAGACTCTGCACTCTCTGAGGGCAGGGACCAGGTCCCACTCACACTGTTAGCAGGCAATGCACCATGCTTTGGGGCTGAGTGCCTGCCCATCATATTGGCCTCTCTCAGGCAAGTTTCTTTCATCCTAAGTGGCTTTACTGTTCCAAAGACTGGGTGTGCTCTGTACCCTGTCCCCTGCAAGGCACCAGGGCACACAGAGGTGCTGGAGGGACCAAGGATCAGAGAAGGCAATGAATTTGCCCATGGTTGCACAGCGAGTAGGGGGCAGCCCTAGGAGAAGCTCCCCACCTACTCCTAGCACTCCACCTATCATTCTTTTTATAAAAATGAACTTTCTGGAAGTGTCATCTAGACACAGAAATGCAGACTTAAGGTATACAGTTTTGGTAAGTTTTGACCAATGGTGCCCACTTGGGACCATGCCCACCATCAAGCTCGGTACTGTTTCCGTCATCCCCGAAAGTTCCCTGCTGTTCCTTCCCCCTTTCCTCCTCCACCACCCCAAGTAACCGCTACTCCTCTTTTTTGAATCACCGTAGATAGTTATGCCTTTTCTAGAACTTAAGTGGAACCACTCTTACCATTCTTTTCTTTTCTTTGTTCTTTGTTCTGTATCTCTGACCAGCACAGGGGTCCCGTGTTTCCCCTAACGGGCTCCCCCTGGCCACGCTCCACCTCTGTCACACTAGGGGAAGCTGCTGGAAAAGAGAGTAGCCTTGGGAGTTCAGGCAGCCTCTCCTGTCAGAGGAGGGGACCCCCCCCAGAGGTCCCTGGGCACCGCAGGCCCCTCCCTCAGCTGGAACAATGATGCTCTCCTATGAGGCACTGCATCAGCTTATAGGAGCAGTGGGCCCCCAGGCTTGGGCTCTCAGCCCCTGGGAGGACTGAGGGGGCACCCCTGTGTTGTTAGAAGCAGGGGAGAGAAGGTGTAAGCAGAGGCTTGTGGATGTAGGGAGAGGGGACTGGCTTGCTGTTTCTGGCTTGGGAGGTCCAACCGGGCCTTCCGGGCATGATGACCCATGTTGCCTGAAGTGTCACTACAGTGGAACCATGTGCCCATCCCCCATCCCAAGAGGTGTGCGGAAGATCCCCGGGAGAGGGTAAGAAGAACACTCAGTCATGGGCATGTCATTTTGAGGAGAGGCTGGGATCTTTTATCCAGAATATATGGAATCACCCAGCCCTGGGACCTGGCACTGGAGCCTCTAGAAAGTGGGTTCCAATGAGAACACCTCCCAGAGACCCCCATTTCTCTAAATGCAGACACTGAATTAATTACAGTTCTAACGTCAGAGCAAACTAACCATTATCACTGGTCTGGGCAAGGCCCCTCTCTTGAACTAACTTTTTTTTTTTTTGCTTTTCATTGTCACCCGACCCCTCTGACATGTCCTAGGACATTTGTGTTTCTGTATACAACCTGCAGTGTATTGGAGGCAGGCATGCATTCTTGAAACATACAAATGAGATTGTCTTAGAATCTCATTCCATTGGGGCGCCTGGGTGGCTCAGTGGGTTAAAGCCTCTGCCTTTGGCTCAGGTCATGATCCCAGGGTCCTGGGATCGAGCCCCACATCGGGCTCTCTGCTCAGTGGGGAGCCTGCTTCCCCCTCTCTCTCTCTGCCTGCCTCTGCCTATCTGTGATCTCTGTCTGTCAAATAAATAAATAAAATATTTAAAAAAAAAAAGAATCTCATTCCACTTTGTGATTTTTCCATCAACATATAAACTAGGGTCTACCTAGCTCATGATTTGTCATGGCTAAATAGGGCTCCTAGGGAGTGCCCTCTGTGGACCTCTATGGCCAGTCTTCCAGGGTTGGGTCCCAAGGTGGGACCAACCATGGACAGTCTCGGTGTATGGTTTGCTGAGGCTACCTAAGGGGTCCCTGGTCACCATCAGCATCCCGCCATCCCCTCCCAAGAGGGAGACAGGAGCCTGGTGGCTTACCCTCCTCTGCCACAGAGTTTCTGTGGGACCCAGGGCCGGCCTGCCCCCTCTCCAGCCCCCACTGCCTCCATTCATCCAGCTCTGCTTGTCCTCTATCCCATGCAAAGCCTGGAAGGGCTCTGGCCAAGGCCCCTGTGGGCACTGTTCCCCAGAAGCAAAGTGCTGATCGTGGGGGTTGGACACACAGGGACTCGGGCTGTAGAGTCCAGACCAGGGCTGGACGCACACAGAGGCAGAGAGCAGTAGAGGCCCCGGGGATGGCTGAAGCCAGGCTTCTCTGTGGGTAAAGGCTGGGTGTAAGTGAATCGGGGTCCCAAGGCCATTCTGCAGGCAGCCCTGGAGGCACCCTCGCCCCCATCAGACCCTCCTGGGCAGGGAAGACCCAGAGCCCAGGATAAGGACCTTCTGCATTCCGCATTCCTGCTCCAACCCTGGCGCTTCCTCTGAGGGTGATGCAGGCCCTTTCACTAGGCCCTCAGGACCAGCCTGCCACGCTCCCCACCCCAGGCTGGCCCCTGGGTCAGCCTGCGGGAACCTGAGGCCTATCTCCCTCTTCCCTGGCAGGACCCAGCTGTGGCCTTCTCCGGGGAAGACACCAGAAGGCAAGTTTGCCCTCTCATTCAGCCCCTGGGTGGATAAACCTTAGGCCCGGTTTCCCCA